CCTAAACCCCCAAACCCTAAACCCTTAAGCTCTAAATGCCTAAACCTTAAACCCCTAATCCCTAAACCCTAAACCCCTAAACCCCTAAACCATAAACCCTAAACCCTAAACCCAAACCCCTAAACCAAAAACCCTAAACCCTAAATGCAGTCCCACGCTGCCCCCTTAGCCTTGAAGGGCTCGTCTAGGCTTTCCAGGGGGAGTTAAGCAAACATACAAGCTGCGAAGTAATGCATAGCTGGACCCTAAGGAACCTACCTTTTTAGGGCTCCTGTTTATGCTTTCCTTATATAAATCCTTAAAAGGTAGGTTCTTTGGGGTCAAGGTAAACCCTAAACCCTAAACCCTAACAGAAGGCCCAAGAACGAGTGCGCTTTGTGCGAAGCAAGAGCTTGCGCATCCCAGAGACTCGAACCCACGTGCGAATGGCAAACATCTTGCTGGCAATATGAAACCCTAAACCCTAATATAGGGGCCTTAACTTCAAAAAGGCTGTAACATAGGGTCATCTACTATAGTCTACCATTGATACATTTTTTGAAAAAGAATGCTTGAGGAAGAGCATTATGCGGTATCCAAGCCTCTGTCGTACCACTAGCGGACTAGCGACCGCGGAAGCACCGAACAGCGGAAGAGCACTAGTAATCAAAATGACGATCATAAACCCTAACCCCCAGGTACCTACTATACAGGGCATTAAAGCCCTAGGGCCCTATATAGTAGGTACCTGGGGGGGTTGGGATTTTATTGCAATTTTTATACTCGAACTCTCCAACACAAGAACCGACCCCAAGTCCACCCCAGCCTTATCAAAGCTCACATTCCCAACCCCATGTGTGTGCCCTACCCATAGGCCCCATAGTAGTTCCTTTTGGGGGTTCACATTCAGAATTCTACAAGGTAATCCCAAAATAGGAACTACTATAGGGCCTATGGGTAAACCCTACAGCCTGAACCGTTTACTTTGTCTTTCTCGGCCTTCACCTTTCCCTACAGCCCAAAGTTCTGAAGCCCTAAAGCCCTAAACCCTTAACCCCACGTTTGGGGTTTAGGGTTTACCTGGACCCCAAATAACCTACCTTTTTAGGGCTCGTATTATGATGTCTTTATATAAGTCCTTAAAAGAGTAGGCTAGGTAAGGGTTAAGGTAGGGCCCTGAATCCTAAACCCTGCTTCCTTTTCTCGGCCTTCATGCCATTTAGGATCCTATTAGGTAATCCCCGAAAGGAACTACTAAGGGGCTATCAACCCTACTTCCTGAAAAGTAAACCCTAAACCCTACTTCCATTTCTCGGCCTTCACCTTTCCCTGAAGCCCATTTAGGATCCTATTAGGTAATCCCAAAAAGGAACTACTAAGGGGCCTATTTGTAAACCCTACTTCCTGAAAAGTAAACCCTAAACCCCACTTCCTTTTCTCGGCCTTCACCTGTCCTGAAGCCCTAAAGCCCTAAACCCTAAACCCTAAGGAACTACTAAGGGGCCTATGGGTAAACCCTACTTCCTTTTCTCGGCCTTCACCTTTCCCATATTAGGGGACTTATAAGCCCACTTATAACTACCCATGAACCTCCAAGTAAACCCTAAACCCTACTTCCTTTTCTCGGCCTTCATGCCATTTAGGATCCTATTAGGTAATCCCAAAAAGTAACTACTAAGGGGCCTATGGGCAAACCCTACTTCCTGAAAAGTAAACCCTAAACCCTAAACCCTAAACCCTAAACCCTAAACCTCTAAACCCTAAACCCTACTTCCTTTTCTCGGCCTTCACCTTTCCCTGCTCGTAGAGGTCCTCCATGGCCTTCCACGTCCCCGTGTCGCGGAGCTTCGGTGTCCAATCCGGCGGGCAAACCTGACCTCCGGGCTTCATAAAGGGCCGTTTTAGGGGTTTAGAGTTTAGGGGTTTAGGGGTTTAGGGTTTAGGGTTTAGGGTTTAGGGGTTTCCTGCCCCGAAATGATCTGGAATAATGGCATTTTAGAGGTTTCGGGCCGCCAGTGTATCTAGTTTGGGGGTTTAGGTAGCATTTAGGTCTTGAAACGGGCGATTAATATACGGGGTTATTCGAAATTTACGAAGCTCGTTTCGGCAATGATAAGACGAAAAGGCTGCTGGGGGGCTTTCGGGCTTTAGGGTTTGGGGTTTAGGGTTTAGGGTTTAAGATTTAGGGTTTAGGTTTAGGGATTAAGATTTAGGGTTTAGGACTTAGGGGTTAGGGTTTAAGATTTAGGGTGTAGGGTTTAGGATTCAGGGTTTAGGGGTCTAGGGGTTTAGGGTAGACCATGACTCAAAAAACACGGAAGAGTCATCCGAGCCCCATGAACCCCTGCACAACAGTGTAGAACCCACAAGCCCCCATGAAACCCCAAACCCTACTCTAAACGAAACCCCTGACACCGACAGCCTAAAGCCTAAAATTCAACTCCATATAATAAACCCTACTAAACCAACCCGTGCCGCCTAAAGCCCTCCACCCCTTACAGCGACCCTTCTGGGATCCCATATAGTAAATCCCCTCCCCCTACACCCCTAGGGTTTAGGGTTCAGGGTTAGGGGTTTAGGGCCCACAGCCCAACGGGACTTTATTCTAATTATATTGACCCCAAACCCTTGTAGACCCTCAGCTTCTGTTGTACCGTTTAAAACCCAGTCAAGCGGTGAAAAGCACCAAAATGCGGTGGAGGCCCTTCACAATCCTATTCAAGCAGTTCCCTACACCCTAAACCCTAAATCCGAAACCCTGAGTACTAAACCCTAAACCCTGAAGCAAATTAAAAAATATAAGGTGTGGGTTGAGCGGCTGGCTTCTGCGGTTTCCGCTGGCAGAATTAAGCTATTCAGTTCATGGAAGCTTTTGGGCGGCCTGGCAGCAAGAAGATAGGGCAGGGCAGCAGGGCAGAGCAGGCCAGGGGTCAACAGGCGGGGCAAGGCAGCACAAGAGCAAAAAAAACAAAATTGGCTCCAAACCGCCAAACCTGCACCCAAACCCTAAACCCTAAACTAA